AAAGATAAACCATGCTTGTACAACTAAATAAAACAGAACAGACACTTTGGACTCAATATATGCTCTAAAAATAACAACAAAAGAAAAAAGTTTACAAGAGGAACTTAAGAATCATTGAAAGTTTTTCAAAGGAAGAAAACAAATAGGGTGAGCCAGAAATATTTAAAATCTAAAGCAATCAACCGAAGTGTGCTTTTTCATACTATAGATTTCACATCTTTCCACATCCTGCTCAGAGCTACCTGCATAAGTAATGAGTGCATTAATTAGCTAGAGATAATCGCTGATACATATATATATATATTTATATATATATATATATATATAAAAAAAATTATGTAAATTGTCTTTAGCATATAACTTGACTCTTGTGTCTTTGATCTGCTGATAATCTTCAAGTGTGGATTCCAGCAGGCCAAATATTTTTTATCTCTGCTGGGAGTACTTTTGGCAAGTTTTCCATCAGTAGGAAATGAGCTGGAAAACTCTGGTGAAACTTCAAAGCAACAGCTTAAGGTGATCTTTCATTTCATGAATTTCAGACTGTCTCTGCTTTTTAACAACACACTGAGTTCTCTCTCCCTAACACACTTTTAAAAGCTGCAAATAAGATGACTTTATAAAAATCATACATGAGATATGTGAGAGATCCTGTCACTTTAGAATATAGTGCATTTTTTAAATTATAGAGTTAAGAGACATTAAAGCCTCAAGTGCTGTCTTTTATGAGTGCATTCATTTGCACAAACAAATGGACTTTAAATCCTTTCATGCCTGAGTCATATTTGCTAAGATGGGAGGTGCATTGTTCATTTATTTAATTGCTTTCTGATTTCTTCCCATTTTTGTTATAAATATATATTCTTCCCCATCCCACATTCTATGATACAGAATTTATGAGCTAAAATATTGTCCTCAGGTATGTATTACATGTATTCAATAAATTAGGGCCAAAGTGAAGCCTTCTATAACTCATTCTAGGAAGAGGGGCAATATAGCTAAAAATCCAAAGGGCAAAAAAGCAATCTTTTCCAGGGGCTAAATTCTAAGGCAGGGAAAGACACAAGTGGATATAATTAGAGGGAGAATGAAAAGAAGTCTCAGTAGTCATCTCTTCAAAAATATCATAATTGGTCATCTGGACTCAGAGGTAAATGATGTGCAGAGAGCATTTAACTGTGCATGTTCTTGAAGCAACTGATCCAGTTATTAATTGTCCAGTCATTAACTAGGGCTGTGCAAATGGCTTAACAAGCCAAGCAAGGTCAGGATATATTTGACTTCTTTAACATTATTTGCAATTACATTTCTCTCACTTTTAATGCAATCATTATTCTTAAAACAGTCTGCTTCCTTCTCAGAAGTCACTTTACAGCAAAAATTCTATTGAAAGTCACTGAAAAGAAGAATGAAAACAAAACAAAAAACAAACCCACAAGATTTATATAATTATCATTCCAATTCTTGGCTAAATACCTATAAAGAAACATGACAGGGTTTGAACTATTTGGTCACCATAATGTATACTTCAATCACAAGAGAAAAAAGAAACAAAAAAGCTTTAAAAAGTAACCAGTTACACAAAGAAATTGTAACAATAGGAACTGCTTCAATGTTTGTTCTCTTGGTGATGGTTCTATCGAAGGAAAAACAAGGAGACCATGCTACTCTGGGAGACCATTTATTTTTTCAGAGTGCTGGAAAACATGGGATCTATTGACCTGGAACAGCAGCAAGAACAAAAAACAAGGCCAATGACAGTGCCTCTGGCAGCAGTTAAAAGCTGATGTTTCAGGGAAGGGGGAGACCAGGAGTCAGCACACACAAGCTGGCCAGAGCCGCAGCACAAACCAGAGATGGCCACACATTTGGGTTTCATCTCAGACGCTGCCTTGCTTTACAGCTGCTTCTGCATGTACAGCACGGTTTCTCTAACCTGCATTTAATTGTGTGCCCTGCTTCTGCCTAGAGTCACTGCAGACAGAGAAAGGGTTTGCCCAGAGATGAGATTACCTCGTTCTCAGTTCATAAAAGAATGCATCAAAGCAATAAAGAGCAGGGAGATGAGCAAGGCAGGTTAACTATGCTCTGGTTAAAAGACTCATTGGCAAAGAAGAAAGAAAGGGTGGAGACAAATCAGGCACAAAGGCAAAATCTGCTTCTGCCCCCACCAAGTGAAGAACAGAGCAGGTGCACCACAGACACTACATCTATAGGTACCTCATGTAACAGAAAAAATTCTCCACTCAAAACATGAACAGGTCCAAATGCTATTTATCGTGGCTAAAGGACCATTACAGATGGTTCTATTGAACTGTCAGCAGCACCAAAGAAGTGAAGGACTCCAGATACCACTGGATGGAGAAATGGGCCTGGAATGTGACCTCAAGTCCATGGCTGTGTATGGTCAGTAACTCAGACTCGCTGACTTCAGTAAGAACTGATAGGAAGCACAGGTCAGTCAGCACTTGGACATGAGTGGTGGCTGGAAATAGATGAGATTAGTCCTCATCTTTACATCCTATCACTACCATGACTGCACCATAAATGCTACTGAACTCATTCCCAGTCCTGAAGGCAGCATATGTTGTCACACTCTCACAAACTTGGAGAATAAGAAGCTGACCAGATCGACTGACTTAGCCAGACCTGTTGGCTCTGTATCAGAGCTGGGGACTCAATGTGGATGTCTGGGTTTCCTTCAAAGAACTGCTTCCCAGCAGCAATTCAGATGCAGCACAGAGAAGAGGAAATTAGCTTCTATTTCTAGTACCAAAATGAATGCTTCCAAAAGATCAACTGCTTCTTTTAATAACTGCTTATCAGTAATGCTTCCATCATTTGAGGCTGCACAGAGGTAGGGACACCCAGAAAAAAATCCTGAAACTTAGTCAAGTGTGGTCAGCAGCAAATTCAAGTATCAACCTCCTCCTAAGCCTGCTATAACAACTTCAAAAAACCCCACACCATATTCCCTCTCTTCTTCCAATGCCTAGGATATAGCAATGAATAAGGTCTCATGGCAAGCTGGAGACTGGCTCAGGACCAGGAACAACTGGGAGGCACTGCCCACCGGAAGTTCCATTTCAATATGTTTGTACAACAAATGCTGTAATTAAGAGTAGGTCAGGTTTAGTTACCTCTTACTGCTCAACCAGGAGCACCAAATAAGTGAGTTTGCCCTCAGATGACTGAAACAAGGCATTTTTGCCTATGAATATTGTTTGCTCTGCCTCCATGGCAAAAATAAAACAATGACAGAATGTCACATCAGTTTAAAAATTTTATGATGCAGTAATGTTTCTCCAAACTCAAAATCCTTTTAAAAGTGGCTTGGAGAAAAAATAAAAGCAACTTCCATAATGTTTCACTGGCACATTAAGTTACACATTCTAAGTCCTGGAGGTGAAATGTTTTTAGCATTTATGAGAGCTCTGGGCTTCCAGTTCTCATGCTGAGACAGCTATTAATACATGACAGAAAGCATCTGCGATCAACTGCTTGCAGGGTTCAAACCCCAAAGCATCCAGAAAGGCTGTGCATAATCCTCCATTCACATGGCTGATTGACTGCACCACACATAAGTCAATGTGATGCATACACTGGCGTGACAGGTCCAAAATATCATGTACTTTACAAATTATTTGATCTTAATTAGAACAAGAGTCTTTTACACAGGAATTTTCTTTTAGAAAAAGGCATAGGGCACTGAGAGATACTAACGTTAACATGAGTTCCCATAAAAAAGAGACAATATCTATTTTAAGTCTTGCAGATATGAAGTGCACATTAAAAATGGGATTATGCTACTTTAAATAGGAAAATTATTGCCATTCTAATTTCCCACTAAACTAGACTAGACCATCCTTATGAACACAGCAGTCCTTTACAAGGAGAATAAACAGCCCAGTCTTCTGTTGGAAAATGCCTGGTCCGTTTCTTTGATGTCCAGGCTTCTGTTACGTTCTGCGTGAGCACACCGGCAAGTACACTGGTGCAGGACCAGGGCCAAGCAGCTGCCCTGAAGTCAGGCTTTAACACACCTTTCTGAATCATGCAGACTTCATCACATTAATGTTTCTACCCTGCACTGGTTTTATTTTATTTTTTTTACTGAAACACTGGATCAAATCTGTCTAGCTGGCAAAAGTGTTAGTCACTTCAGTCAGCCTGGATGTACGTCTCGTTTAAACTTGAATTTTGAGGAGGGCATATTTTCACCACTTTGGTCTTCCTGAGTAATGTGATTACTTGTTTTCACCTGATGTGGCATTGATGCCTGCTATCTAGCAGCTTTTCCCTGTTGGTGCAGTTTCTGCAATTAAGATGTCAAGCTGATAAGCAGGGGAATTATGTAAGTGGTGTCTATGGGAATTCTGACTGGATGAAAATAAAGGGAAAGAAAAAAGGTGTAGAGATAGTACCTGGCAAAAGTATGCATCTTATAAGTAGAAAAGCATGTCTCTCCTTGCCAGCTTGTCTCAGAGCACTGCATGGCAGAACAGCCCGTTCTCTTCAATGCCTTGCCCAAGGAAAGCTTCAGGAAGGTCTGCAGCACAGCCTGTGAAGTGGCTTGTCGCATTCCTGCCACGGGGATGCAGCTTGCCTTTCTCAGGCAGCTGGTTTCACTGGGGAAGGGGGGGCTTTCTTTCCTAGGAGCTCTTTATTAGGGAGCAGTAACTGCAAGTCTGAGCTGATGAAAAACTTGTCTTGCTCATCTCCCTGAAGTCACAGTATGGAAACATGAATGTGAGACCTCATGATCTGGAGAATGATTTTCCCACGGGCTGTCTTTCCTTGCACTTCAGGGGTGCTGACTCTGATTTTCCCAAATGCAGGAAACTCAGCTGGCCTGAATTGTAGGGGGAGGGTGAGGAACTCATGCACCATCTTCCTCGAAAAGAGACAGCTAATGTGCACAACCATCACATGCTCAGTTAAGTGCACTGCACAACTGCAACACCAATGCAGGGGGATGGGTTCCCATAACCTCAGCTCACCTGGAAAATCTGTGCATGTTCTCACGTGCCGGAAACACACGATCTGAAACACATGACCACATCTGGGAACAGATCAGAATAGCAATTTCCCTTACTGGCTGGATTAACAATTGCAGAGAACAGACATTCATGTCCCAGGATCTGTTGAGGATTCACAAGAGAATTGTGGTCAATTTTATCATGTTTGGGCTTGAACTCACTCACGCGTAGTCTTTTAAACTCGCTTCATATGGGAAGAGCCCTTGATCTGACTCTTTGCTTCCACAAAAACGCATCACATTTGTTTATTTTCACCAGTTTCAGTTCACCTCGATGCCCAAGCAGAACCTTTGTGTTGCAGCTTGATAGAAACTGCACCAAAATAAAGAAAAACTTAGAAATAATTATTACAATTTAAAAACCTGCTGGACTTAAAATAGGAAAAGTTTATAATTTGGGTTTAGAGTGTTCAGACTGAGAATTGGGGTGCTACTACTCATGTGTTCAGTATGGTTTCTGTGTGAGCCCAAGGCCATGACATTTGCAGAGAGAAATGCACATCAATTCCAAATAGCACATTAGATTATTTTAATGTCCACAGTTATAAACTGCAATGGGCTGCAACTTGTCCTAGTGACAATCCACGCATCTAGTGCTGTCTGGGTATTTTAGTCTTGCAAATGTCTTTTTTCTCCAAATGGGTTGCTCAGCAGTAATGATTATTCAGAGAAAAGTGGCAGACAGGGTCAGGCGGCAGCAGAATGAAAAGTGAAAACTTGAAAGATGCTAGATGAATATTTATGCAGAGCAATCTTCACTCTCAAATTATGGCATATAATGGGATCAGCAAAGCTAACGGAATTCATGCTGCGTGAACTTCCTCTGTGAGAACTTAAGTTTAATCTGCACATAAGACTGACAACCCGTGAACACAGAGAAAATGTTCAATGGCATGTAAAAACTTCATTGAAATAATGTTTCTGACTATATCAATGTTCTGGCAATGACAGAATAAACAACATTTTTTTTTCTTTGGGCAGATTTTAAATCCACAGGCCACTTTTTTGAAATGGCATTCAAACATTGTCACAGCAGACTTTGTTCTTTTGTTTCATTGCTGATTTGGTATGTCCTACTGGCAACTGAAAAGCATCCATGGGGATTGAGTAATGAGGACCAGGATTTCAGAGCAGCCTGGCACTGACCATCTCTTAAAGGCTGGTGATGATGAGGAGCAGGCAGCCCATGTTTCGCTCTGATATTGCAAGATTCGTCAGGGAGTACTTTTCATTGTAAAAACAAATGGCAGTCAGCAGACTTTGAGAAATCCTTCTTCTTTTGCAAAATTTTTTTCTCAGGGTGTCCAAACCCTCAGTGTGCATGGGCAATGAAATCCATCCCTGTGCTGTAGGGTCAGCACTAGAGCTGCAGATCAGTTTACTCCTTTAGGGTGCCACAGATTTAGTGCACAGATTAGGTCTGCATTTCATACATTCTGGTTTTCTTTGTGAACAGGTCACTACAAAGCCCAAGCAGCTCTTATGACCCATCACTATGCACAAATCCCAAAAGAGTTGCTCACCTGGGGGCTAAGTACTCATATATTTAGATAGACAACTAAACCTTTTATGTTTATACAAGGGCCTTAAAAAACTTGCTTAGCAAGATGTTTTTTCCTTGATATTTCTACAGTATGCTGACATTGTTGCTGGTTTAAGTCCTAATTTAAAATATTAGAAAAACAATTTTCCTTACTGTCCTTTAGTATTTTCCTTTCTGAACTAGAGGCCCTGCTTCATCCCTGTACTAAATGCTTCAGCACATGTCTAATCCTACTGAATTCAAGGATAAATTAAAAAGCTCTATTGAATCCACAGCTCTGTGAGAAACTGGGAAAGAATGCAGCTCCAGCTATCTGAAATATCTGAACTCTCCAAAATACCCACTGCACGTATTATCCAAGTGTTTATGTCTGATCCTTTTTTCTCCTCAACTTACACATCCCTCATTATCGAAACGTATCAGAAGCACGTCAGAAATAGCTGGCTACCTTGTTTAAACTTAACTAAATGAGACTGTACAAAATAAAATACGCAGTGTTTAGTCCATACCAGTAATCCCACCTTTCCCTTCTGCTGCTAATTCACTCAAGAGGCCAAGCCCTGTCTGGATCGGGGTCCGCGGTCCAGAGCGGGCACACCAGCCGCTTTGCTACGGGGGCCACACATCTGTTTTATTCTCTTTATTTAATTGTTTATTATACAGAATACCTTCCACTGGGAATTTTCTGGTTTCCCTTAGAACTGCCCCAGGCAGTACGGTTCCGGCCCTGGTTTTCCCCTCTGCACGGCAGCCCGGTCGTGGCGCTGCTTGCCCGCACCCCGGCCCTGGCTGGGGCCTCAGCCGGCGCCACCGCCGCTCCACCGCGCCGTGCCCGAGACAGAGCGCGCGTGCCCGAGACAGAGACGGAACGCACATCCACCCCCGAACGCGTCTGTTTGTGCGTGCTAAAAATAGACGGGAGAGCCTGACAACTG